ACTTCTACGCTAGGATGCGCACCGTCTTCATGGAAGACCGCATCGTGCTCATGCTGTGACTTGACTTGCTTGAGCGCTTTGCCATGGTAGGCCATGATGTTGCTGTATTTGTTCCCTCCCTTGTGCTCCACAGGTCCAGTAGCGGTGCTGGCAACAACAACATTACCTGGTGGTGGTAGAGGAAGGTCGAAGGTGATGATGTGGGCCTGGCGGCAAACATGACATGGAAGAACAAGATATGTACACAGCGCCTCCGACATGTCATGTTTGTGTTGCAGGACCTAGCTGGGCAGCCAGCGCCGAGTGAGTCTAGTCCTCTGCCTCCTCTGGCCATGCCGATGTGTCGCTAGGATGGACATCAGTGTGGAGGCGGAGGCTGTGGCATCCACATGGGATGGGAAGGTTGGGAGGAGTGGGCTATGTTATGCATCGAGGAGTGTAGGATGCGCAATGAGTGCGATAGGTTCTTCAGATCAATGTAGTAGATTCTATGCAGATCAATGTTGATATGTATATATCTAGATGATGGGGATTTGTATGATAAACTCTTTATCCTCCTTAATACAATGATATGCAAGTATGATTCCTTTCTAAACTCATTACAGTTACCTTCCTTCTCATATGATGTGGTCCAGATTCCCTTGCACATGTTTCCAATTTCTTAATACAAGTTATTTAAGTCATCTCCACTAATAAACATGAGCGGGGAAGGCAACAGTCAAGGTCCATGACATCCACGGCCACCCACATGAGTCACGGGCGATGGAGCAGGGAAGATGACACAGACCATTTGATTCCCTATACTTTGCAATCTAACACTAATGCTGAATCACCGTATGAAACGGCGACGGGAGCTGCAATAATGACAATTTGCAAACACATCAAACCAATTTGTAAATAAACCAAGGCAAATAATTCCATCCTAGCACCATCTCAGTAAGGTGCTTTAGCTCACGTCTGTGTAACCAAGGCAAATACTACGACACTTCAAAAAATGGAGTAACAAGCATCATAGCCATTCAGTTATTAATTGTTTCTAAGGCAAAAACTATATATAAACGACACAGTAACAATCATCTTAGCAATTTCGTTGATAAGTTTAGTTACATTCCATAGATGTACAATAACAAAGACCTATTGAGGACTACTGGGTGTACAACAAAGACCTATCGAGTACAGGTACATCCCATAGTCGAGTTGGAGACAGGCAGTGCAAGCTAAGGATGAGACAGCACCTCGCAAAAACTTCCACCATCATCTTATTTAGGTGCTTTAGCTTCCCTGCTGCTGCACCTCTCATGGTCGCGAGCATGAGAGAGATAGAGGCAAGAAGAGGAGCATCTCAGTGAGGTGCATTGCCTTCCCTGCTGCACCTCTCATGGTTGCGAGCGCGAGGGAGATAGAGGCATTGAAGAAGAGGAGGCGGCCAGGCGGGGAAGAGAAGCGCCGCCGTCGTCGCTGCTGCTCTAGATGAAGGAGGATCGCTAGGGCACAGGATGGTGAATCGGCATAAGAAATGCACAGGGCAAACCAGGGATACCAAAGTGCATTGAGTACCCCTTGGCTTGCCCAAATAAGCGAACCCCTTTAATCACAAAACTTCCACTAGCACCTAGATCGAGCAGCCCCCGTTGCGCCTAGATGTCGGTAGTACCCAATCTTGAAGGCTTTCTCCCAACGTTGCTGCTACCGCCAAAGGAGTTGGTGAAGGAGCGCCATGGCGATGAAGAAAATATAGCTGGTTGGCTCACTACTAATTTTTGACCCTATCGCATCGCTTCGCCTTGCATCAAACACAAATTTGATGCAATAGGTGGGTGCTATTGCATCAATTTAGCAAATCTGATGCAATAGGTGGTCATTATTGCATCGAGAAGGCATTTGATGCGATAGTAATTCATGTCGATGCAACAGGTATGATCTATCGCACCGATTTCGAAGAAGAGATGCAATAGGTATAAATTATTGCATCAGACAAATTTAGTTGCGTTACTGTTGATTTTTTATGCAATAAGTAGGTGGTATTGCACCAGCTTAGAATATGGGTGCAATTAGGAAGTACTATTGCATCAGATTGATAGTGCAAAACTCTGATGCAATATGTGATTTTTATATCATCGGTTTAGGAATGTTTTGATGTGGTACATTGTCACTATTGCATCAAAAGTTTTACATTGCAAGATGCTAGGACATATTAGCAAAGATTGGTCATAGTATACATATAGTTATTGCGTCGTTCATACTTATTATCTTCCTTATCAAGCGAAGAAAACATCACATACTATTTGCCATGGATGTTTATGCAATTTCATATATTGTTGCCCACTCTATATATTGCAGCCCACAAAAACAATTTACAACCAACAAACAAATTGAAAATGGCACATTCATTATCACTTGGCAAATCAGATTCATTCATAATTACATGTCCAAATAATTGTCACATGTCAAACTCAACCCAAAATACATGAATCTCACATGTCCAAGTCATTACCAACTTCAACCTCCCACTCTTGTACAAGTGCAGGAGTAGCGCTTCTCTTGGGAGATGCTGGCTCAAGGCCAACATTTCGTAGAAATTTACTTGATGGCAGAACATGAGCAACAACTTGAGCAGGATTCATTGGTTGTTCCCCTTCTGGTGTAGGCTAAGTCATGGCGGCTTCCATTTGAGCCTAACATGATAAGAAAAATAGTTTGCATTAGTATGCAAATGTTCAAAAAATTTAAGCAATGGCTGACTTATTAGAAAAACATACTACATTTGATGCCAAAACAAGCTGGAATCAGTATGGATAATTTAATCATTGCTTGTAGATGTGAAATACCAGCAGTATAATTGTTCTATAAGGGCTTCATTTTCAGGTCATATATTGAAAATTTGACAAGTCACAAGTCTCACAGTAAATTAAAATTCACAAGTACATAATATATGACGGACAACAGTAGTTGCTCTTGGATGTGCAGTGGTGGCACATGTGCACCTCGATTGGTTAGTTATGTACTCCTTGCACTATATGTCAGTTCTGTAGGTGCAGATGTTCAAAAAAGGAGGTGCAGATTTTATACTCTACTCCTTGCACTATATATTTGTTCTGTAGGTGCAGATTTTTACAAAAGGAGCTGCAGATTTTATACTCGACTCCTTGCACTATATATTAGTTCTATATGTGCAGATTTTCACAAGGAGGTGCAGATTTTATACTTCTCTCCTTGCACTATATATAGTTCTGTAGGTGCAGATTTTCGCAAAAGGTCACAACTATGTGATTCAATATATTTCTTCCCTTAACATTATTTTTATGTTCCTAAAAGTTTTGTTTCAGGTTCATAGGATTAATTCCAGCCACCTGCAAAAGATATCCTATTGACAATAATTTGATCGTTAATGGTTTGGTCCATCAAATTCCACAATTTATGTTTCATCCAGAAAATTCTGGATCATGTAGAAAACAAATCAGTGAGGTACATAGATATACATATAGATATTCTAGAATGCTATTTGGAATGGGACAAGTGATATCTTTTGCAGTAAACTATCATCTAAGTTCAGCTATAAAGGAACTGTACATTGGACAAGAAGTAACATTAAGAGCAAAGATTAACTACACTGCAGTTTTAGAACTAGACACCTAGAGCAAGAAATGAAACAACAAAATAGCTTCAGGTATAGAACAGTCCATTTAATTTTGATAATGCATAAAAGGAACCATGAGCTTGGATAGTTGATGTCAAACAGCAGAAGCAAATCCAGGGCAACCTTACCTGCTGGTTGTCGTTTGCTTCCTCCCCATTTTCAACCTGCAGGAGGCATGATGTGCACGGAGGGTCGCCGGGCAGGGAGGCTTGCCGGAGGAAGGGTTCGCCAGGGAGTGAGAGGTGCACCCTGCTCGTTGCTGGGTCCAACGATGTGTTTTTTTATGTCAAAAAGAGCTGAAATGGAACTGTACAGGACTAGTATACACAATGCAACTTGGACAGTATTATAAATCTTTGTATACAATGCAAGTTGGACAGCAAACATATAGGTAATTCAAGAAACAGATTAATTTAATTTATGAACAGCTAGGAAAGAAGCATTCTCATTTAATTTACTAGGTCAATTTTATCTTTCAAAACGTGAACCTACAATTGCCAATAGTATAATTCAGAATACACGTAGTACAATTTTGTCTTTCAAAACATTCAGAATGCAACTAAATAAAGGGGTTAGCTACAAGCAACATGAAAAAAATGCATGTAGGACAATGGCACTAATCTCATTATGCACAATCAAACAGCAGCAGTAAGAGATGGACAAGCATGTGTTGTTGGAGAACTAAAAAATTCATAGTTCACTGCAAATTACATACCACAACCAATTCTAAAATGAGGTGCTTGATATGATGAGATAATTGCCTGTACCTTGTGGTATGTCAAGATGTCCCATATAGTTGTCACCGACGCCAAGGTACAGAACGGCTCCTATGTAATGTCTTGCTGGCGAAGATGAACGCAAGCTTGAACACGTTATCGAACCGAGCCGGTTGGCGTCGGCGGCGACCTCCTGGCGGTGGCCGGAGTCTCGAGTTCAAGTAATCCCCGAGCTAGATTGCCTCACAACTATCTAGTCCGGTTACAATAGTGTCACATCATGTACATGCCTTTTAACCAATTTTACCTGTTACAGATACAGCAAAATTTATATCCAAATATTCTTTTCAAAGATACAAAAATTCTACAAGTGCAGGAGTAGCGCTTCTCTTGGGAGATGCTGGCTCAAGGCCAACATTTCGTAGAAATTTACTTGATGGCAGAACACATGTACAATCTTGGCACTCAGATCTTCGACAGTTGGGGCATCGGGTTCAGAGAGAAGGGGCAAGATTTGAGCAGCGGGGTTGATGGTGGGTGACAAAAGTAGCTAGGACGGATGAAGAACCTGCAGGGCTCTGGATGCGGCGGTGGAAAATGCCCGGCGGCGGCGGCTGAAGAGATGCCCGGCGGCGGTGACGGAAGAGATGCCGAGCGGCGGGGGCAGTGGGATTTCAGGAGGCGGCGAAAGCAGCTCGGTCGCAGCCGACTACAGACTCCGGTGGCTGCTGATAGAGAGGTCGTGGTGTGGCGGATTTGCTGAGCGAACTGTGAGCAGGAGAGAAGAGAAGATGGACGAGGGGAACCTGAGAAGCTGGCGTCGGATTGGATCCCCGTGACCCCGCAGCCCGCGCCCCCGCTTTTTACCTCGCGCTGTGCCGTGCTGTCTCTGAGACGTGGGCCTTCCCAGCAATTAGGTGCACGCCAAATTCCAGCGCACGCTATAGAGGGGAAAAAAATACTTTGGCCATTAGGTGCGGGCATGCAGCGCGAAAGTTTCTCTTTTCACCGGGCATGTTAAATGGGTGTCTGACTGGTGGGTACCGAGAACGAAAAAAAAAAAAAAGAACGTGCACGGTTGCTACAAATCGCTATACAAATCTGATTTGTAAGAATGGTTCATTATTTATAGGGATAATTTGGATACGAAGACACCCTATAAATCCATTTATAAAATTCACGAATCCAAACTCAATAAATAACAAAATTTTCTTTTTAATTAGAGGAGGCCCTCACCGGTCAGCCACCCACCCAAAATTCATGAATCGGGCCAAAAAATAGCAAAAATTTCTTTCTAATTTGAGGAGGCCCCCATCAGTCAGCCACCCACCCAAATTCACAAATCCAGGCCCAAAAATATGCAAGTAGCAGCTGACAGGATTTAAACCCGCAACCTCCCCCTCACACGTACCCTACTCTTCCACTGCACCTCACAATCACTTATGTCTATATTAGCAAACATGTCCGTACGTTGCAATGGGACCTATACATAGGAATCACACTATCGTCGTTAGACGAAAGTTATTCTAACTCGTATGAGCATGAGTCATATGAGTTCGGGTCACATACGAGAGATACGAAGGGCGGGACCGAAAGTTATTTTTTTGAGAAATTCAAACGTAGTTTTCCTTACAAAATGATTTCAAGTCAAAAGGTTGTCAACTATAAACTTTTATAACTTTTCGAGATCTACAACTTTTATTTTGACCATTTGTTCATCCAACATAGTGGTAATAACATTGCTCACAAATCTTACATACCCCTCTTATAGTTTATACGAGAGATATGTAAGATTTGTGAACAATGTTACTACAACTTTGTCGGATAAACAAATGACCAAAATAAAAGTTATAGATCTTGATCAGTTCTACAATTTTTATGTTCATGACTTTTTCAGCTGAAATCATTTAATATTTCAAAATAACATTTGAATTTGCCATTTTTGAAATTCAAATTTCAAATTGATAAAACACAGTCACATGAAAAGATGATCAAAATAATAGCTGTAAGAACACAATAAATTGATAAAACATGATTTTAGAAAAAATTAAGAAAAAAATCATCAAATTTAAATTTAGTACGAGAGAGAAAGACTAGTCGTAAGTTTTAGCCAGAGATTAAAAAGAGAAATCAGAGTTTTTCAATAATTTAAAAATTAAATTTCTAACAATATTTTCAAGCAGTAAATGATTTCAAATAAAAAAGTTGTAAATAGCAAGGTTCTATAAGTTTTCGAGATCTACAATTTTTATTTTGATCATTTCTCTATCCGATATTATTTGAAAAAAAATCGAATTTTAGTACTTATTTTTTAATATTTGACGTCTATTCGTAGGGGCTGCTCACATCGGAATTGAAAATTCTTTTTGAGGTTTAGATTATAACTCATAGCATTTTTTAATTAATTTTTTTTGAGGATTAGATTATAACTCATATCATTTGAAAAGATAAGTTATTTTCGGCTTAGAACTTTGGCGCTAGCTAAATCCGAATTTTCCAGTCCCGCGTTGAGTTGCCGCCGGCCCAGGCCAAATAACATATCCCCCGCGTCAGTTACCTTTGGCAATACCCTAGCTGGCTGCTAGCTCCTCGCTCCTTAAAATTCCCCACTGCGGCGGCTGCTCTCTAGAGCACCGCATCCCACGTTACCGGACCCGGCCTACCAGCCGGCTCGTCCACGCCCTCCTTTCCCTTTCCCCGAACTCTCTTACTATGCACAGGCTCGGGCGCCACTGTGACTGCGGGAGACCGAGGGCCATCCACAGGCGGCGGTGGCGGATCCATGGCCGGCTACTATGGATCCACGACCAGCGGCAACGGATCCATGACGAACGACATCCCACCTTCCTCTCACTGCAGAAGACGTGGGGGATGACCGTGGTGTGTGTAGGGCTCATGTTGCGTTGAGACCTCAGCAAGGTGAAGGCCCCCATCTCTCTTCCTCCGTCATGTTCCTGTTTCTCCATTTCTGTATGCATTAGTGTCACTTGCCACTTGTAACAGGTTGGATAAATTTAGGTGCTGGATTTAATATAAGTGCATCTCAGTCAACAATGAGGCATGTTATTAGTCTAGAAAGGGACCGTCCAGAAAATGTGCAGCCGTTTACTGGTGCAGTAACGCTTTCTTGTCAACTTCAATAATTTTATGCTATCCTTGTTCCATCATCATGTTACGGTGTGCAAGTGCAACTTTAAAAGTTGTGAGAGGATAGCAGCATTACTTTGTGCCTGAAACATTGTAATAGTAATATTTGGTATCTAATATTTAGTAGCAATTCATTTCATATGGCCTTTTAGTACTAGAAAATATGTAGGGAATACTGATTATGTTTGCTCCGATTCAGATTTCACAGCACTGAACAATACTGAACATTGTCAGTGTCAGTGGCAGTATGCAATTTCTAGTAGCACTAAGCAAATGAGATGTGGTAAATTGTGTACTTAAGGCCATATTGCCTACAAGAGTTCACCTCTTAATCGAGGCATATATAATGATTGATAAAATTTCACTGGTGTATCTTATTCATTTGTTCTTTCCTTAGCAAACTAGGTATTTTCTTTAAATAATTTACAAGAGCTGAGTCTACCTTCTATGTTACTTTTATCATAATTTACATGGAAATGTAAGGGGTAAGGATCTGTACCAAATTTCCCAACCTATTCCCTCAAATTTTTCCAACAGATTGCTAACTCCTACTTCCATACCCCTAATTAAATATCCTGATACTTCTACTCTTTGTACCTTTGCTTCATTTGTCGGGTCCGTCTATATAATTATTGTCTCAGATTCCCTACAGCAATGCACTAGGAATTCATCTAGTTATGAAATGGTTAGTAACTCAGCTCTGAGATAATGAAAACGTCTCCAGTTTTCTATGGCAAGTTATTCAGCTCTAAGAATTATAGAATGGTATTATGGCCCTACAGGGTTTAGAAAGTATTCCTGATACTTGGGATGAGATTCATGCAACGTGAGTTTTACAAAGTGACTAGTTAGAAATTGTTTTTACTGTAAAGTTAGTTTTGGTGAATTCATGGCATGTTTGACTCTAGATTGTGGCACCAATAATTGGGTTTTTTTTTTCTGGTCGATATTACTTTTGGATAACCAAAAAATAATTTATTTCTCATAGGTGCAAAACTCAGCTACCGGTGACTGGTGAGGTTTATCAAACGGGTCCAGTATGTGCACCAAAGAAACATTTGGTGCTACAGCTTCTTCTCACAGTACATGGAATCATCTTTTTCTTTTTCACCTGCACTTAGTGATCTTTTTAATCTTAGATACAGTAGGTACTCCAAAGTTTGAAAGACTTATTTGCTAGCGCATTCTGTTGAAGGCACACAAGACTTCCCTAGATACAGTAAGTGCTACTTTGTTCCTTAGTACTTAGTGATGTTGCAATTATATATAACATAATTATTATATTGATGGTTGTACATGCCCTGATTGGGTGATAAAAGGTCATCATCTCCTTGTCCTTGTGTTGGGTTTGGCAATCCTATCTTTAGTTTCTTATTTATGTTATTTTCAGCTGTGCCACCTGTTCTTTTTGGTATAGCAAGTTTGGATGAGCCAAATGCTTCCAAACTTTTTTTGTGGTCTTCTGATAGCATATGGCAGCTGCTGTAATTTTTGTAGAATTTTCTATGCAAGTCTTGTATATGGTCTTTTATGCATCCTTGTATCTATTTAAATTTAGAAAGGCATCAAATAATTTTATTTTATGATGGCCATCATATTTTCTGGTGTCCATGAGTTATGTATGTTGCCATGATATGGTTGGTATGGTCCAAATGTAAGTTTGGAACATTGTTAATTCTTTAAGTGAGATGTTGGTCCCATCTGGACAGATCTGGGGACTTAGAGAAGTTCACCTTGAAAGTTGGTTTCCTGGGAAACTTGTGAATACCAGAGTCGAAGATAATTGTCATATCTAGCCGTTGTTCAAATTTGAGGTCATTTGGCCCAGTGGTTTGAAAGTTACAGCTGTTTGAAGTTACCTCCCAGTTTTTGGGTACTCTCTGTTTCAGCAGAGTAGTTTCTGTAATTCTGCTATTTCGAAGTAGTTAAGTTCTGAATCATGCTTTGATGTATGAAGATGAAATCTCGAGAATTTTATAAGCTTTCCATAATGTCCTCTTGCAAGTCATTTGGACTTGTATATCTCCAGATATAATTTATTTTCTATACAGCTGTTGCATTCCCAGATTTCTGGGAACTTGCTGGAAAGCAAGTTGCTTATGTTAGATGCTTTATGTAGTTAATTATGTTCTTTAAAGTGATTTGAATAGAGCTGGGCTACTCGGTAAATGAGTGTCCAGTGATGTATGTTCTCATAACATGTTTTATTCATTTATCTCCAATGTCATACATATCTTTGAAATGCTAGAGTTCAACTGTCCATTGCTTTTTACCTCTCAACATGCTTTGGTAGGAATCATATTTGCATGATTAACATGGACTTGGATTTTTTGAGGAAGTAATCAGTACATGAATCTAACTGATACAATTTGATTTCTAAAGTATCCATTTTACCTAATTCTTATTATACTTGAACTGGAACTGCTGTTGCTACTTGCTAAAGTTGAAAACACTAATTGTGTTCTTAAATTTAGGAAAGCGCCTTCTCCAAAATTGCAGAGAGAATTGAGTTGGAAGCTTCTGTGATTTTAAAAGAACAAGAAAGGCACATTCTTCATGAAACCTACAAGGAAACCACTGGATGCAGGAGCAGGAAAGGTCCTAGACATGGATACTTGGCAAAGTATCCGACCCGAAGCCAACTTATGAATGAACGAATTGAAGAGCAAGCTCGTGCATCTGCATTAGCAGCAGCAGCCCAACAGAAGAATAGTGAGATGCAAGCTGAGGTAGAGAAGTTAAAAGAAAAGCTTACCATTCAAGCCGCTAAGAGGGAGAGCGACAAGGAAAAAATTCAGCAGCTGCAACATCAACTGGAGAGTACAAGTAGCAAGATTAGAGAAGAACTAAGGCAAGAGTTTTTTTCACTAATCAAACAACACAATCAAGCACCGCCTTTGGTAATAATACTACTTCTTAATTGTTACCAACATCATTGATTTTAGTAAAGCTTGATTGCTAATGTTTCTCCTTATAACTCCAATGCAAGAATGTTGCACCAACCATAACAGCCCCTTAGCCTGCAGAAAATATGGTTAGTGGAAATGAAGGTGCAGATTTAGCACAAGTATTATTTTTTGATAAATGCAAACTGTGATGTAATTGATACCTACATTTAATCTGACATAATGTGTGAATCTTTTTTTAAAATATGAAGGCTGGTACAGAATCTGCCCTGCCCACACATAATGAACCTGCTGTTGTTTCGACTCCCATCCAAGGATCAGAACATGTGTAACAGGTAATATACTTCAAAATTATCACTTGTAGTTGAACAGATTCTTAGAATTGCTAAGTGGTGATTGCTCCTTTAAATCTTCTGGTTTTTACAGACTGTACCAGATAGTGTATTGTTGAGCAAACAGAAGAGTATCCAACCTAGTCGCCTCACTCGCAGCGCCAACAGATCACTTTTCCCAAATGATAAAGATAGTAATGAGACGGTGACATTTATTACATCACAAACACTACAATGCAGAAAGAAAGGAGGAAAGGTATGAGCAATCAGGTGTCATTTTAAGTTGTTGTCTAGATTATTAACATGAACTTTGTTCACTTATACATGTATGTTTATTCACTTAACATGAGCAATCAGGAGTTCATGCCTTATGTGTTTATAGTTCGGCTTCAGTATCTATTCTATTTGTTAAACCCAAAAATATTGTTGTCTATCATGTGTTGTCTATGTTTGATTCCAACTATGTGATCAACTATATATATTACTAATGCATGTCATTTTGACTTTTTCAGGAAGATCAACCTTGAGGGAGTCTTGGCAACCTGAAATGAATCAAATATTATGCAACGAGAAAGATGTCATGTTGATCTGTGCTAAGAGACATGTATTTTTGTTTATGATTGCCTATTTGTAGCATAAGTTAGTGGTTTGTAATGCAGATCAACTTTGCAATTATCTATTTGGAAATAGGAAGGCATTTGACTTCCTTACATTGTACAAACTATTGAATGCTTATGATCCAAGTTATTAATATGATTGCCTTTTTGTGCAATTGAATTTTGTAATTTTATGAATTTCTGTGCAATGAATTTGATGCAATAATTGGTTGCCCTTCAAATCTCATGTCGATGCAATAGTTTGTATTGCATCCAAGCTCATGTCGATGTGATAGTTTGTATTGCATCTAACCTCATGTCGATGCAATAGTTCGAATTGCATCGAACATAACGTCGATGCAATAGTTCCTATTGCATCAAACCAAAATGATGATGCAATAGAACCTCTTGCATCGAATCAAAATGGTGATGCAATAGATTATATAGCATCGAACCTAATATGGATGCAATATAGTCTATTGCATCGAACAATAGCCGTTGCAAATAGATGTATTGCATCAACATGATTTGGATGCAATAAGCTATTGGATCTCTCAATTTTGATGCAAGAGACAACAGATGGACGATGTAATAGCTGCTTCTCGCATCAACCACAAGTAACCGATGCGAAAGGCTATTGCATCAAGACCACTTGCATCGGCTGGCATCAAACGAGAAATTGATGCGAAACCGAACTATTGCATCTATTTTAGACCTATAACATCAAAAATTGACCGGTGCAACAGAGTCAAAATTTAGTAGTGTCAAGAGCTTTGTCTATATCTATCTGTATCTACTCCATAAGGAGGAAGGAGTGTGTGGATTGCCAAGAAGCGCATCTAGCCCCAACTTAAATAGGCCAACCTTGAAGATGGAGAAGCAGAGAGGAGCAGTTCATATAAGCATAAGGGAAGACGAGGCATACTCCGTAGGAAATTAATGGTGATTCAACTGTGTTGTGGGTAGTTGGGAAATGGGGAAACAACTCATGCTGAATTTACTACCGCCAGTACACCAAACGGTCGTGTAGGGCTAGCGGCCATAACGCCTATCCCAGTCGGCTCGGTGTTCCAAACGACGGTGGAATTCAACCCCACTACCACCACCACATTGATGGTTTTCGATCAACTACCAGTTTCCTTCCTTATAAGGCCTCCCTATCGGTCCAACCGACGGTGGAAGTATCACACTGACGCTTTTATCGTTATGGCAGTGAAAGTGGCGATAGTGATAAGTTAATCTGTAGTAGTGTGTGTTCCTTCTAGGATGTTCTGTAGGATAACATCCCTGCTTAATAAATAAGCTACTCAGATCATGTTAAGGTATAAACCATCCTACCTTACAGCATAGGAGAAACGTGCATCTCAAACAATCTAGACTTTATTATAGGTGTCTCTCCATCATAGTCAACCACTAGCTTGTTTCACCATTCTACTTCACGGGATCTCCGATCACATAGGATAGGTTACCACTATGAAATGACTTCAAGTGGGTCTCAAGCCCATCTCCCTCAATGGACCATCTATCAGATTGCATGACAGTTCGTTCGTAAACTGATCTGCCAGATTCTTATATGTATGGAGATAGTCCAACGCTATTACTCTGGAGTTTCTTAGTTTTTTGACATATTTTAACCGCCTCTTCACATGCCTTGTAGACTTCATGTTATCCCTAGAACTGTTCACTTTGATTATCATAGTCTGATTATCATAATTCATGTAAATAGCTTGTATTAGTTTTTCAACCACCGGTAAATCCATAAGGAGGTCACGAAGCCACTCCGCCTCAACAGTGGCGGTATCTAATGCTACGAGTTCTGCTTCCATTATTGACATTGTTAAGACGGTCTGCTTGCAAGACTTCCATGAAATTGTGCCACCTCCAAGTGAGAACACATATCCACTTGTGGCATAAATCTCATCAGCATCAGATATCCTATTTGCATCACAATAACCCTCTAGTACCCTCGGATACCTGGTATAGTAAATGCCATAGCTCACAGTCCCTTTTAGATAGCGCAATACCCTCTCAAGAGCATGCCAATTATCATCTCTCGGGTTTGAAACAAACCGGCTGAGTTTGCTCATAGCGAATGAGATGTTAGGCCTCGTTGCACTAGCTAAATACATAAGCGAGCCAATAAGTTGAGAATATCTCAATTGATCCCGTGCTATTCTATGGTTTTTCCTTAATAGCACACTTGGGTCTTTAGGAGTTGGAGCCGGTGTGCAGTCACTATATCCAAAGCGACTCAACACCTTTTCAACATAGTGGGATTGCACAAGAGTTACCCCACCATTTCCTTCTCTGAGTAGCTTTATGTTAAGAATAACATCAGCTTCTCCCAAATCTTTCATTTCAAAGTTACTTGACAAGAAGTCTTTCACTTCCTTGATCACATTAATATTATTTCCAAAAATTAATATATCATCCATATACAAGCACAAGATCACACCATCTCCCCCACTATACCGATAATAGACACACTTATCAGATTCATTCATAGCAAAGCCGACTAATGTCAAAGTTTTGTCGAACTTCTTATGCCACTGCTTAGGTGCTTGCTTTAGGACATACAAAGATTTTAATAATTTACACACTTTTTCCTCTTGACCATTAGCTACAAATCCATCCGGCAGATCCATATAGATCTCTTCCTCAAGCTCTCCATTCAAGAAAGCTGTCTTAACGTCCATCTGATGAACGAGAAGACCATGTGAGGCAGCCAAGGAAAGTAACACTCTTATAGTCGTCAGAAGGGCAACTGGTGAATAAGTATCGAAATAATCTTCGCTTCTTTCTAGGTATAACCCTTAGCCACAAGCCTCACCTTTTACTTCCCAATAGTACCATTAGGCCTAAGCTTTTTCTTGAACACACATTTACATCCCACAGGGTTGCACCTGTAAGGACGATCAACAACCTCCCAAGTTCCATTAGACATAATAGAGTCCATCTCACTCTGAACATCTTCCTTCCATAAGTCAGGGTCCAGAGATGAATATGCCTCTTCTGTGGTCTTAGGAGTGTCATCAATGAGGTATATAATATAGTCTTCACCAAAGAACTTTGCAGTCCTCCGTCTTTTACTCTTTCGAGTGACTATATTATTATCCTCCTCATGATTTTCCACATGGGTTTCAACATCAGCGTGTTCTAACGGTTCATGCAACTAGGAAATTCACTCTAAAAAAATGTAGCATCTCTAGATTCCATAATAGTACCAATATTCACATCAGGCACTTCAGAATTTACTATTAAAAATCTATAACCCACACTGTGAATAGCATAACCGAGAAAGACACAATCAATGGTTTTGGGTCCAAGCTTTCACTTCTTGTTAATTGGCACATTCACCTTTGCCAAACAACCCCATGTTCGCATGTAAGAAAGATTTAATCTCTTCTCCCATTTCTCGAATAGTGTAATTTCTTTATTCTTTGTGGGCATCCTATTCAGGACATGACACACTGTCAAAATTGCCTCACCCCACCATTCCTTAGATAGTCCCGCAGTCTCTAACATGGCATTGACCAACTCAGTTAGAGTGTGGTTCTTTCTCTCGGCAATCCCATTGGATTGTGGTGAGTACGGTGGTGTCCTCTCATGAATAATACCATGCTCCACGCCAAACTCAAAAAACTCATTTAAGAAATATTCTCCCCCGTGATCAGACCGTAACCGCTTAATTTTCTTCTCAAGTTGGTTTTCTACCTCAGCCTTATATATCTTAAAATAATGCAACGCTTCATCTTTTGATTTTAACAGATACACATAGCAAAATCTAGTGCAATCATCTATAAATGTCATGAAATATCTTTTGCCACCTTTGGCCAACTCACCATTCATTTCGCATAAATCAGAATGAATTAGTTCTAATGGTGCCAAGTTTCTCGCCTCAGCAGCCTTGTGAGGTTGCTTCGATTGCATGCAGACATGGCATTTAGAACCTTTGACCAAATCAAATTCCAGGATTAAATTCAAACCAACTAAGTGAGTCATGTAGCCAAAATTTATGTGACATAGTCATGAATGCCAAACATTCGATTCAATATCACAGGTCACAAGGCTCACGAAATTAAAACATGCATCAGTTAAAGACAAGTGGAACAAGCCTCCGTTCTCATAGCCTTTACCCACAAATATTCCATACTTAGAAAGTATGCACTTATTAGATTCAAATACAAGTTTAAAACCATCTCGACATAACATAGAACCACTAATTAAATTCTTCCTTATTGAGGGGACATGCTGCACATTTTTTAGTTGCACAGTCTTTCCCGAACTAAGCTTCAGATCGACCGTACCAACACCACGAACAGCTGCACACGCTCTATTCCCCACCAGCAAGGAGGAAGTCTGCCCAACCTAATAAGAAGAAAACAAAGAAATATCAGCACACACCTGAATATTAGCCCCTGTGTCAACCCACCAATTAGGTGTATGACAAACTGAAAGCACTGTATGTAAAAAATTACCAAACCCCGATGTTCCTCCTTCAGCCTCAACCATGTTTGCAGATTTCTTTTTGGGCTTCCATTTGCTCTCCTTACAGTCCCTCGCATAATGCCCGAGCTTGCCACAGGTGAAGCAATTTCCTTTTTCCTTGTTCTTCTTCATCTTCTTAAAAGATGTAGTGTTCTTTTATTTGTGCTCTTGCTGGAATTTCTTCTTGTGGGAATTTTGAGGATTTTTCTACACCACATGGCCACTAGAACTTCCCTCAACAATTTTCTTACCGCAGACATCCTTAGCTCTCGACTTCTCTTCAACATCTAAAGGGCCAATGACGTCATCAATGCCAAACTCTTGCCTCTTATATTTTAGAGAAGTAGCAAAGTCTGTCCAAGCCTGTGGTAGCTTAGCAATAATGCAGCCCACCACAAACTTGTCTGGCAGCACAGTACCAAAATTCTCGAGGTCTTTTGCCA